CACGGTTGGGGGGTAATGCAGGAGACGTTTTGTTCATCATATTTTATAATTTATTTATAGTAAATTATATGATATGATGTAAATAATGGTGTCTTTAGAAAGATAATTTAATGGCAAGAAAAACAGTATATAATATGTGTGGGTACAGTAAAAGAGTAAGAGGAAAATGACAGCTAAACACAAACACCGCAGAAATGTAAAAAGAGCCCTGGTCCTTATCGGTAAGAAAATTGAAAAACGGTCTGGTTACTAAGGGGTTAAATGTACTCCTTTTAAAAACAGATTTTTAAAAAGTATTAATTAGGCACATAAGTATTTTTCTTCCTTCTTTCAAAAAGCACTCGCCAATACAATCTATTCTACTCAACACAGCTAAATTGTGATTCTCCAATAGCTAGTAGTAAATTTTGATTACAACATTATGGTTGAGCGGTGGGTGGGGGCCCTAAAATTAACAATAAGGGGGGGACCTATTGTCCCCCCTGGCCCCCACCCCTGAGCGGTGGGTGGGGGCCCTAAATACAAAGGGGGGGGACCCTAGTCACCCCTCCGCCCCCCAAAAAATATTTATCTCCCTACCTAACCCCCTCACCCTAAAAATAATGAGGGGGGGACCTTTAACTAAAAACCTGTAAAACAAATTTGGTAAAAATAACTTACCATTTGATGTTTTCTTTCTTCTACAATCTTCTTTTTTCAGCCCCAAAAAAGGCCAAATAAAAAGCCATAAGAACCGACGCAATTAAAAAACAAACAAAAAAAAATGAGCGCACAAAAAAATAATCCATCTTCACCCATGGAGGGCTCCGCGCAGACTGAGATAAGTTATTTTTACAAAATTTTAGGGTGAGGGGGGTAGGTAGGGAGATACATTTTTTTTGGGGGGAGGGGGGACTAGGGTCCCCCCCCTTTGTATTTAGGGCCCCCACCCACCGCTCAGGGGTGGGGGCCGGGGGGGGACAATAGGTCCCCCCCTTATTGTTAATTTTAGGGCCCCCACCCACCGCTCAGGTGTGGGGGCCGGGGGGGGACAGTAGGTCCCCCCCTTATTGTTATTTTTAGGGCCCCCACCCACCGCATAGATGTGGGGGCGGGGGGGACAGTAGGGCCACAGGCTGCTCACTGTTTAATAGACATGCCCCTACTCGCGGTATTGCGAGTAGGGGTACAATTTACTAATACTAAGTCATTTTTACTTAGTATTAGTAAATTAATAGGGGGCGGACACAGGTGCCAACTGCTGTGGCTTTCTGCAGTGTGCAGACCGGCAAGGAGGGCAGGGTTGAGGAGTGGGTGGAAGATGATGTGGAGGATGATGAGGTCCTAGACCCCACATGGAATCAAGGTCATGCGAGTGACGTGTGCAGTTTGGAGGAAGAGGCACTGGTTGCACAGAGGCACCAGCACAGCATAAGAGGGAGCAGGGTGCAAAAGCGGAGCGGCCATCCCCTAGCGCTCATCAACATGTATTAGTTTGAGAATTACCACAGTTATCCAAGTAACAGATGGAGCGATCAAAGGATCCATAATAGAGTTGAGCGAACACGAACTGCAAAGTTCGGGTTGCATACCAGATTTAACAAGCCATTCGAAGTTTGACTTTGAGGGCAGCAGTCCGGTGACCGGGACCCAGACACTGTCTGGGCAGCGGTCGGATGACCTGGACCCAGTATGCCTGATGTTGAAGTTAGTGAGTCACAGTATGGAATGGATCAGCAGGGTCTGGTGCAGGGTAACCACACACCCCTGGTGTTCATCACCAGCATTTGTGCGGCCACATACCAGGACCCTGATGCAGCTTCAGTAAAAAGAGTACTGGATACCAGAAGCCATCAGCAGACTGATCCACAACTTGGAACAGGATGTGACATTCACTGTAGCGGCTGTACACGCTTTTGTCGTTCTCACCCTGCTGCTGCTCGCCTGTCTGCGCTGCAGCGTAACTTTGGCCTTCCCACTCACCTCCTCATATGCGATGTGCCCACAAGGTGGAACTCCACCTTGCACATGCTGGAGAGACTGTGCGAGCAGCAGCAGGCGATAGTGGAGTTTCAGCTGCAGCATGCACGGGTCAGTCACTCTGCGGAACAGCACCACTTCACTACCAATGAGTGGGCCTCCATGCAAGAACTGTGTGCCATGTTGCACTGTTTTGAGTACTCCACCAACATGGCCAGTGCCGATGGCGCCGTTCTCAGTCTTACTATCCCACTTCTATGTCTCCTTGAAAAAACGCTCAGGCGATGATGGAAGACGATGTGGCACAGGAGGAAGAGGAGGAGGAGGAGGAGGAGGAAGAGGGGTAATTTCCATGGTTATCAGGCCAGTCATTCACAAGTGGCTCGGAGGGTGGGTTCCTGCACCTGCATTGGCCAGGTACACAGTTTCAGCTGCAGCACACACGGGTCAGTCGCTCTGCACCAATTGATCATAGTTAAAGGATTTCAAGTGGACTCATTACAATTAAATGGTCTCTAAAGATTATTGTATTGTTATTTGTCGTCACTACCTCCCCGCGTCGGGAGTGGGTAATTTGCGCGCCTGCTGCCTTCCTTGGATGTGGTAGCCGTTTCTCAGGCTCCCTCTTCGGAATCAAACCCTGATTCCCCATTACCCGTGGTCACCATGGTAGGCACAGAAAGTGGCATCGAAAGTTGATAGGGCAGACATCCAAATGCAAAGTCGCTGTCACGGGGACGTGCGATTGGCCCAAGGTTCTCTAGAGTCACCAAAGTGCCTGCGCAACTATAATGTCGACAGCTACTCTGCCGAACGGATCTTCACTAATAAGTAGGGGATGGAGGGGGGCCCTGTGCCGGTCCCTTCTCTTCCCCACTCTCTGGCAGACATCTGGTAGTACTGCCTCAAATAAAGATTGTCAAACGTTGTATCCTGGAACTGTGTCCCATTCGGTTACTGGGGAAATGGAATTGACCTATTCTAATCAAAGGAGATAACCATTGGTTACCCAGATCCCGCTTCAATTGGCGATGATGAAAGAGGATGTGGCACAGGGGGGTCATTTCCATGGTTATCAGGCCAGTCATTCACAAGTGGCTCAGAGGGTGGTTCCTGCACCAGCATAGACCAGGTACACAATTGTCCAGCATCTCCAAACTGTCCCATGGAAGCGTTAAGTTGTCCATCTCCCAAACACTGGAGAGAAAGAGGAAGTACCCCCCTAGCCACCCACGATCCCTGTCCCTGAATGCCAGCATTTCAAAATTTGTGGCCTTTGAAATGCTATCATTCCGTCTGGTGGAGACGGATAGTTTTAAAAACCTGATGGCATTATTGGACTGCAAGAAAGGCACCGCAGGCCGCAAATGTTTTTTTTTTACCCCAATTAAAAAACAAACAAATTAAAAACAGTGTTGGCTACCTCCTCCTCCTCCACCGCCGCTTCCACATACACCGCCACGGTCACTGCTTCCTCAACCTATGGGTCACTTAGTATAAACTATGTACACAATAGCAGAGGCTTGTGAAGGCCTTTTCTCCATGCATCAGGAGTTGAGCATTTCTCCATGCATCAGGACTGCAAGAAATGCACCGCAGTCCGCAAATCTTTCTATTTTTTATATGTCCCAATATTTTGGGGGCTACCCCAATAAAAAACAAAACAAAACAGTGTTGGGTACCTCCTCCTCCTCCTTCACCACTGCTTCCACCTACACCGCCACGGTCACCGCCTCCTCAACCTATGGGTCACTTAGTATAAACTACGTACACAATAGTAGAGGCTTGTGAAGGCCTTTTCTCCATGCATCGGGAGTTGAGCTCCGTTTGAACAATGAAAGAGAATACCCTGCACTCCAACCCTCTCTCAAATGGATAATTCTGGTGATCCTCCTGACAACCATGCTTTAGATTTGGATTTCTATTCTTCCAAAGCTAAAATCGAAGATTCCATCTAGTGCTATTTTATGGCTCAGCTGTATTTTTAATTTTTAGGTATTTTATGTTATTTTAAGTAATTTCCCTATCAACATTTGTTTGCAGGGCACTTGTCCTACTCTTACCCCCATTGTACTTCCTTTTGCAGCCCTTTTCATTACTTTTTTAGAGCCATTTTTGTGCCCAAAAGTTCAGGTCCCCATTGACTTCAATAGGGTTGGGGTTGGTGTTCGGGGTCAAGTTTGATCCCGAACCCGGACTTTTTTTCCAAAGTTCGGCCGAACCCGCCGGACGCGAACATCCAGGTGTCCGCTCAACTCTAATCATATCCTTTTTAGGTAAAGGTCTTCATAATGTCTATCTTCTATGTATTTTGCATCTTATGTTGCTGTATTATGATACATTGTTTATAGCATGAATCTACTTGGCACTCAGTATTCGGTAAGTACAATATCAACCCTTTCTACAGGCCGTTGTGTAAGTCATACAACTCTATATAGCTTTTTTGTACTTTCTATCTATATGTGCCCCTGTGTGTGTCTTTCTCCTTATAATGTGTTATTTGAATAAAGTGTTTAAGTTGAGCTGGTTACAAGTGATGAGTAATACCCATAAGAGTGTGTTAGCAAAATTATGAAGAAAAAAGGAAAGCATGATCTTACCGTTAAACAAGATAGTAATCCAACTGCCACCAGCAATACCTCCTTCTTCATTATCTATGGTATAACTCATGCAGTAGACTATAATAAAATACATTAGAATGAAAGAAAATTCAGTTACACCAAAAATAAGTTACTTTTGGAATAATGTATTAAATTGATGCACTTAAATATTAAATATTAAACAAATACTTATCTCACTGACAGATTTCCACTAGGCAGAGTTTGTATTTATATTCCTCCATATTAATTTATTTTAAGCCCTTGTTTTATTTTATATGCTGTGGCACTTTCAGAAATCGTGACACTCCGCTTGGTGACATCTCTTGGCTGTCAACCAGGCTTCTCTTCCTGGTTAAAGGTTAAAGTCCAGAATTTTGTTCCCTCATGCCCCGCTTGTGAGACATCATTAGATACACTTGTCGTATCTTCATGGCACTAGGAAAAAAGAGCAGTGCTCTCTGCATGGTTTACCTCAGTGGACTGGCCTTGGTGTGTGTTCACACCAGGATGAACTGCAAATGTTTTGGGGAGACTTGCCCCTCTCTGCACAGGTCTGACACCTTTGGGTGGTGACAGTTACTCCTTTTACCCACCCCCGATGTTGGGAGTATGTGAGTTCTTTTGTGTTTCCATCGATATACACTTATTCTTGTGCATTAATATATATATATATATATATATATATATATATATGTGTGTGTGTGTGTTTATAATACAAGCAGATTATTAACTAATCTGTTAACTATTAAAGTTCTGAGTTTCTTGTCCCTATTTGATTGAACTGAGTTTGGTTTCTATAGTAACAAGGAAAGTTTAATTCACAGTTTGGGGAAGATTTATCAAAGAGTTCTGTTCTAAAAAAAGAGTCTTAAGAAGTAAATGTGGGGCAGTGACCATGGAATCCAATGGAACCAGTATGCATATTAAATTAGTGACCTCATCCGTTTTACATTTTTGTACCACTTTTTATTTCAGAAGTTTGGATAAATATTCACCCTTGTCTAGTTTGGGCTGTTCACTGCCACTGCCAATCATTTTTCTGATGGTTATGGTCATTAAAGATGGCAGGATATACCAGTCAATCATAGCAAACTAAGGAAGATGAGTGGATCAGTGAGACACATGTGAGCGAGAGATGTTTACTTACTACATTTAGTGGAATGCAGCAGTGATCGACTACGCTGAAAGATCCACGTGAACCGTGTACTTTAATAGACTAAATACATATAGATATCATATATTATAGATATATTGAGATCTAACATGCTCATTGTAAGTCGGGAAGGAGATATTTGTGAATACTATTCTTCGTACAAACCCAAGGCAGTACCTACTGCCAAATTGATATTTACCTGCTCTTTATTGTGAGTTTAACCAGTACTTTTTTCAGTTTTGGTTATTTGTGTTAATTGTTATATAGCGATTTTTCATGCACTTGTAAAACCAGAAAAAAAGAGTTGTTGACTATCCCAGGATCCTGCATATTTACTGTTATACTGTATTGATTTACTAGACTTTTGTGCATCTTGTTAGTATTTTTACATAGCAACATTTACAGCATAAATTGTGAAAATGTATGGGTAATGTATTAATATGTCAAGACAGAGAATGGGCAAAGAGAATTGGAAGAGTTTTAGTTTGCTCAATGAAGCGAAAACATACCCCCTGTCCTCCAGTCTTATGAATCAGCCTACATGGCTCAAACTGTAGAGTGCTGTTAAACAGCCAGGCAGGGAGAAGACAGGCAGGAAGGGAGAGACAATTAGACATTAGCCATATAACTATTAACTATCTAGTGAGAATTTTTATAGTAGCAATTTAACCGAATAGCTAGTCATTAACACATTTTACATTTGCACAAATATATTCATATATTAGGATGATATGAAAAAGACACTCTGGGCACCAATACTACTTTAATGCATTGAGAATTATCAATATGCTCTATTTTTTTACTGATCAAATCTTTATAGTTTTTTCATAAACTAAATAAATGTTTTGCAGTATGCAACACCACATGCCTGCTTCTTATGAGCATTCCTTATCAAAGGTATGCACACAGCTCAGTCACTGACTTTACAGAATGATCTGAACAAAAGAAAAACACCTGCATTAGAAGGACAGGGCACCCAGTGAGGCATATGCCTTAAAAGTTGTACTGGTGCCTAGAGTATCCCGTTACGCACAGTATGAAATACACTATAAAGCACCAGTATGTTTCGTAGCTCAGTTCAAATACAACATATTAACAGGCACAAACTAATGGCAGTGTAGTTGGTGCAATTGCACCAGGGCCCCACTGGGTCACAGGGCTTGCCAATGCTAGGCGACCTCACTGGGCCCTTCCTGACCATGCTGGATCTGCCAGTAGTTCCCACACGAAGTAGGAGGAGGCAGGGTTGCAAGGGGTCTCACTGTGGCCCAGAGGATACCATCAAAGTGTGCACTACAGAAGGAAGAGCTGGACTCAGAGGGAGGGTGAGTCAAGCTACGTGTGTGTGTGTCAGTGTATTTATCCGTGTTTTTGGATATGTGTTTGTGCCAGTGCATGTATCCGTGTTTGTTGATCTCTGTGTGTGCATCTGTACATGTGTGTCAATGTTTGTTGATCTCTGTGTGTGCATCTGTAAATGTGTGCCAGTGTTTGAGGATCTGTGCATATGTGTGTCTGTGTGTGTGTGTCTGTGTGTGTGAGAGAGAGTCAGTGTTTGTGGATCAGTCCTTGTGTGTTTCAGAAGATTTGTGCATATGTGTCAGTCTGTGAGTGTGGGTGTGCATGTGTGGGTGTTTCTTTTGGAGTGTATATGTATGTCAGTATGTGGTAAAGTGCATCTGAATGTGTGTTTGCATGCCTGCATACAAACAGCAAAACTGCAAAAACTCCTGTATTCAAACACTGGCACTATACACAAACACACGCCTGCATTCAAACACTAACATTCCACGCAAACACACAACTGTATTCAAATGTCAAAACCATACATCAAAACAACTCTGCAGGCAAACATCGGCACTACAAACAAACACAGTTCTGCATTAACCCCTTAAGGACACATGACATGTGTGACATGTCATGATTCCCTTTTATTCCAGAAGTTTGGTCCTTAAGGGGTTAAAGCACCCATAATACACACAAATATACCCCTGCATTCAAACTTTAGCATTATCCCAAAAAATACAAACATTAACATACACATACACCATGTAAAAACATGCCTACATTTACACACAAGCACAGAAGGTCTTGATGATAAGG